GCGAGCCGTGGTGCTGGCTCGAGTGGTCGTTGTGCGACGGGCCGGACGCGGCGAGGTTGGCGTTGGGATCGAGGTCGGCAGCCGCCTGGTCAACCTGGTCGGCGATGGCGGCGAGCGAGTTTTCGGGATGCACCTCTGCGGCGGATTGGTGGATCTCCTGGTTGGCGTACATGGCGTTGGCACGCACCGATGCGGCGCTCGCAGCGCCCTTGCCAGCCGCGGCGTCCGAGGTGGACACGGCCGCAGCAGTGTATGCGGGCGACCTTGCGCGCTGTGGGCCGAGCTTGGGAGTGCCGTAGAGGTTCATCCCGTTGAAGGCATCGCCGAGGTCGTCTGCGAGCGGCGGGGCGCGTACGGAGGGGTCGGCCACGGCGGGGCCCAGAGCGGGCATCGAGATGTTGGACTGGGCGTACATGCTCGACGAGATTGCGGGGGCTGGAGTAGCAAAGTAGGCCTGGTGGGAGGCTGGATTCAGCGCTGCCGATTGTGCATGTTCCGGGTAGTTGGAGCTGGCCTGGCGGTTGGGACGAAACGCGGGGGTGGGAGGCGACGGGTGCGGATGCTGATGATACTGCTGGTGGTGATAGTGCTGGTACTGGTTGGGGTATGCTTGGTGATGATGCTGTTGTTGGTTTGCTTGGTTTGTGGTGGTGGCGGAGGAATAGTACGACTGCGAACCCGACGAGCCGACGCTGCCACCTGCGCGCGTGAGAGAAGCGGACGCCGATGAAGAAGAGGTGGTGGCCGTAGCGGACGAGTTGGAGTGGTGCAATTGTGGCTGCTGGTGCTGGTGGTAGTGGTGTTGCGAAGCTGCGCCCGAGTCGATGTAGTCGTAGTTGGATGCGTACGCCGCCGAGAGCGACTCGTGCGAGTCTGCGGTGGGCATGGCCATGGCTGCCGAGGCTGCGGCGCACGGGGATGTGCGACAGGGGTGTTTGCGCGCAGAGGAGAAGATGACTAGATGGGTTGCGTCGACATTGGTCCGCAGGTGTGGTGGGTGTGTTGCTGCAGCTTGTGAAGGGTGGGATGCGGGTGTAAGATGCACGGATGAGGAGGAGGAGGAGGAGGAGGAGGA